GGGGGGGCTTTGTGGTGTGATACAGCGTCTGACATTGCTTTAACAGAGAAGATCCAACACCAACGCCCTCACAGACATCAGTGATACCCTCACAACACTTCAAAGCCGGTGCTGATGGAAGAACAAACACAGGAAAGACTAGCGCAGACTGCAGAGGGAGGCCACACCCCAGTGCCTTATGGGTAAATCTGCAGTGCTGATGTGGGTGGGAAGTGCATGGATCCATCTAAGGGTGATAAAATGAGTATTTTAGGTCCACATCTGTGCTCCCCCACCAATAAAACACTTCAACAGACATTCAAGGTGCTGCTGTCGTAAACCAGTTGGGGGTGCGGGAGGAGGGGGGGGGGGTCGACAAGCAGAACTCTTAACCTAATGGTAACTGGTGATAGCAGCATGGCAAGGACACTGACTGAAGATCTGCTCTGGACATCAAAGCCCCCAGGGAGGGATGAGCGCCCCTCACACAAGCAAAGGAATTCTAATTGGCTCCTGGCATCTTGAAATGATACCAAAGAAAGAGCTCTTTCCCCATAACCCATCTACATAGATGGGTCCTCAATTCTGTTAAACGTCTGCACGTGGACCAAGGTCTTTGTGTCCAAGGTCTTTGTGTCCAAGGTCTTTGTGTCCAAGGTCTTTGTGTCCAAGGTCTTTGTTTTGTGTCCACAGATTTGGAAAATCACAAAAGAAACATTTTTAAGTGGAACACTCCATCCTGTTTAAGGACACTACACAGATTTCTCATGCCAAGTCACCTTTACTGGCTCGGGTTAGATTTTTTAAAGCCCTGAGTGTTTTGAGCCCCCCCATAAGGCCTACTGTAGAAGGTAACTGCAGCCAGAGCCAGACCCTGCGCACCTATTAGAACCCCCCCCCCCCACCACTGCTGTCCTTCTTACCCATAAACCCCTTCATCAGTTTCCTCCTTAATATAATACTTTATATTTGCAGCAGTTTAAAGCTTATTTTGGTAAGGCTTTCTATGAAGGCTGTATCTGTATGAATCTATGAACACGTCCATAACGTACTACAATGCATTCATAAATTATTATAAACATGGCTATAAATGTTTAAAAAAATGTATATTATGTCCATGCTTATTATGCATTATGAATGCTTTATGAAGCTCTCATCTATAATGCATTATAGATACTTTCACAATGCAGTACAAAGCATAAAGCATCCTTAACTCTTATACTGACCATTATAATGCATTGTGAAGGGTTCCTTGGAGCTTCTGCAGTATTATAATTAATGCTATAATGTATTATGACTGTCAATAGAAGATGCTGTAATGCTTCTTAAATCTTACGCCATTATGAAGTAATCTATAATGTGCTATAGATGACAGCTTTAAGTAAAGTGTTACACTTTTTTCTTCCTGGGGAGCTGTGAGGGTTAAGGTAGGAGCCGGCTCTCAGTTGCACTGCACTGGGTAAATTACCGTACCTGGAGGGTGGGGGGCAGGAGCGGGTTGCATAATGATGGCCAGTAGCTGCTGTGAAGCTATTCACTCAAATGCTCCTCTGCCTAACACTGACTCCTGAAAGGGAGGATGAAAGTCCCTACGGTTCGGTTATAATAAGCAGGTAGGACCTGTGACAGAACAATGGCTCATTGGATGTCACTGTCACACCCCCACATCAGCACACTCATTCATCCTGACGTAATACCAGCAGAACAGGCTGGTGCACGGCCTCCCCAGCACTTCCGCACTCACCTACCCATCCACCTGGGCAGCTTGTGAAAGGCAGGGTCATCCTGCCAGGCGCAAGATGTCTTCCAACTGACCATGAGCCGTAGGCCTGCAGAGATTGTTTTGCCCTGATTGGGGCGCCGTGGCCTGTGGTCTCTAGTGGCTTTGTCATGAGGACAGTATAGAATGAGTTCAGAAGAAGTAACTTGGTTCCTGAACACCAGTTAGACAAAACAACTACGACGACTGAAACCTCAGTGAATCGATCTTCCAGGTTCCACGTCAAGCTGAGATGGAAGCCAAGGGCAGCTTGTGAGCCCTCATCCTGTGCTGAGGGTGACCTTTCTGTAAGCTGCTTTCAGCTCGGGGCTTAGAGCGAGCATAAAGAGATCAACAGCACCGGCAATCACAATAAGAGACGCCGAGGCCAGAGCACACAAATGTGATAAATACATAAAATAAAACAAAAGAGAGATGAAATGAATGACCGGTGGAACAGCAGAATCTCAGCAGAATCTCATCCATGGTTGCTTCAGCCCTGGAACATTCACCCTATTCTGTAGTTACCTTTAGTTTCCCGCGAGTGGTGATGCAACCTGAATGGGCCTGAAAAGCCTTTTCGGTTGCAAAGGGTCTTTATTGATCCTGACCGTCTTGGCATTAGACTTGAAAAAAGGCACCTTTCCAGCTATATACTGCTCTATAGAACATATGAAATAGCCCCCTTCCAAGAAAAAAAACACGCTTGTGTTTGAAATAGCGGATAGTAATGGTACTGGAGGCTGACCAGAAAGCCGGGAGAGCAATGCTGCACTCACACAGCCTCCAAGCCACCCTGCGGGTCTCATTCAGGCTGCTCCTACCACACATTCACGGACAGACACATGTGAGTATCAGGCCACGGGATAAGCCAGGCTCCTGAGCTGACGCTCACTGGAGAAGCACATTAATCCTGCAATCTTTGGACTGACAAACAAAAAAAACGGCCACATTATTCCCAAACAGACAGTGACCATCCATGTGTCAGACAGGAAATCTAAATTCATTGGCTAGTTCCACCACGGACGAGACTGGCAATTTAATTTATTTAATCTTGCCCCAAACTATTCTTACATTTAACAATCGACTGACATCCAGCGTTGTGTCACGTTTGTAAGAATTAAACTCCTACATTCCATTGGCATGAACATGAAAACATTTTATTGTGAGGATACAAAAAGCATGTTTTCACAGCCATGGAAGCATGAGCATGGAAATGGTCTCCTGAACCCTCATGTGAGATGTCATTCAGAGCAGACGCCTTACAGCTGCTCTTAAACAACAAACATAAATCAGTCAGGAGCTACAGATCACTGGTCACCAAGACCTTAGCAGCACTAACAATACTACAATTATAAATGGAGTTTAATTAAGACTAAGAAATTACAGTGGTACATTGAAACTTAATTCATTTCAGAAGGCTGGTCAAGTTGCAATTTGGTTAAGGCCCAAGTCGAATTTCCCCATTTAATATAAAGTAAATTAATTTAGTCTGTTCCAGACCCTCCAAATGTTTGCCTATTTTAATTTATCTGACTACCTACCTAATGATAAAAAGCATTAACAATCATTATAAAACTAATACACACAGGAAAATCACAGGAAAAAAGCAATAAACATAAAATAAATGACAATCCCATACAGTACGTGCACCACCTTCAAGTCTCGCTATAATTTCCTTTTAAAGTTCCAATTACTCTCATTACTTTCCACTTTGGTTTGCTGCTATCACTGCTCACTTTCTTAGGGGCCATGATTACTGTATCACTAAATGTACTGTAGATAAAGCACAAAAAATTCACATTGAACACAGGGACACAACTTTCGCATGTCGAATTCAGTTGAGAGGTACTGCAAAACTGAGAGAAATTCATATGCATCAGCATCCCAGTAGGTCCGTTTGCCTTTGTGTCAGTCCATCAGAGACGCGTCTCGATCTGTATAAGTTTTAGCAGGTCTGTTTTATTTTATCGTGTTCTAAGTTTTTGGTCGAGTTGCGGTAAGAATTTTCTCAACTGACCCATTCAATGTCCTAATTGGTAGAGCTGAACGCGTATTGACCCATACAAGTTTTAGCAGGAACAGTCGAGTTCCAAGATTTAGGTTGAGGTATAAGTAAAAAAAAATTCAACAGACCTGTTCGATGTCCGCGTTGGTCGAGTTAAGGGGGGTTCGAGTTCCAAGGCTCTACTGTATTAAGACCAATTACCTCAAAGGAATGAAGACCAGTGATGTATTTTGCACAGTGTAGCAAATAAGCACCAATGTACTGTACGGTCTGGAGGAAGTTAAGGTTTCTGAGGACCTGTATAATAGTACATAATGATCATCTCCAGGCCCGCTGGCTGGGTGTGGGTGATCATCCCCTGGTCCGCTGGCTGGGTGTGGGTGATCATCTCCAGGCCTGCTGGGTGGGTGTGGGTGATCATATCCAGGTCCGCTGGCTGGGTGTGGGTGATCATCTCCAGGTCCGCTGGTTGGGTGTGGGTGATCATCTCCAGGCCCGCTGGCTGGGTGTGGGTGATCATCCCCTGGTCCGCTGGCTGGGTGTGGGTGATCATCTCCAGGTCTGCTGGCTGGGTGTGGGTGATCATCTCCAGGTCCGCTGGCTGGGTCTGGGTGATCATTGTCAGGCCTGCTGGCCAGGTGAGGCCACTCACGCCCAGCGAAGCTGATACCCCCCCAGCAGCCGGCTCTCCAGGTCCTGTTCCTCAGCCCTCTATTTCAGCCGTCGCTCCTCAATGAGAACCACCAGCGTGTCCCTCTTGTCCACCACTCACAAGGGCTCTTCCAGGAATCTGCAGAGGGGTGGGGAGCACATGTTGGAATATAACCATGTCAGTCAGTCATAGCCGGCTACCATCCATGTCACAGTGACATCCTCCGTTTAATGTCAGACATTGAATCTACCTCCTTCTATTCGTTATTGGCCAAACAGACAGCACTGAAAGAGCATTTCCACTACACTACAATCAGGCTGTTTCTCCCTATTTTTATAATAACTGTAGGCAGCCGGTATATTTATACTGCAGAGTTCCTCTTATCGATCCCAGCATGCATTGCATATATAGAGGGCTCTCTGACCACCAAGGAGCATCCTCCGGCGTAGCTCCTGTTGAAGCTGGCTCTGAATGTCTTCCAGTTCCAACTCCTGGGCACTGGCACACAGACGGGTAACTTATTAACACTTAGTAAGGAACAGGTTTCTTCAGGATTGTCAGTGATATTAAATCTTGTTTATATGACCCGCGGGTGGTGTGGTTGCTTCGCTGTACCGCTGTAGTCTCTGATCTGCAGGCTTGTGGGTTTGTCTCCAGCCTGGGCTCTGTGAATATGCGGAGCTTCAAGTGCTCCCTGCATTTTTGTGGGTTTCTTTCCAAAGGTGGTTTATGTGGGTTGGTGTCTCTATTGCTAGGTGCATGAGTGTGTGCCCTGTGGTCCTGTGTTGTCCTGACATGCCACTGGGACAGGCTCCATGATGCTAAATTACATGAACACTGAATAAAGTTTAATTATTAACAGATCAACAGATTAACGGTAGGACTCCTATTCATCCTAATTTTAAAAAACAAAATTTAGTGTCTGGGTTTTCTGGCCAAGGACAGAGGGAATATGAGTTTAAGAAGATGATCACTAAGGTGCAACGAGGTTGAGTGAGGTGGAGTTGTGAAGTGAGGTGGGGTGAGATGGAGTGAGGCGGAGTGAGGTGGAGTAAGATGAAGTGAGGCGGAGTGAGCTGAAGTGAGGTGGGGTGAGCTGAGGTGGAGTAAGATGAAGTGAGGTGGAGTGAGATGAAGTGAGGTGGGGTGAGGTAGGGAGGTGCAGTGATGTGGGGGTGTGGTGGAGTGAAGTGTGGTGAGGTAGAGAGGTGGAGTGAGCTGAAGTGAGGTGGAGTGAGCTGAAGTGAGGTGGAGTAAGATGAAGTGAGGTGGGGTGAGGTAGAGTGAGATAGAGTACTGATTTGTGGGTACTGAGCATGTTGAAACCATTGTGACCATCACCAGAAGAAGCAATATGAAGAAAATAATGACCATGGATAGTGATGATGAACATTTTGTCCACAGGCCAAATGTAATCTACACCCCAGAAACCCCTTCAGAAGTGAGTCGGTGTTATTGTTAGCCATATCTAACCTGTATTCTACAAACCTGCACTGACATGGGTTAGGGTTAGTAACATGTTTGCTGCACTCCATAAACCGCTGTCACATCATTATCCAGAACTGCTCACAGTCACACTTACAAGGTCACAAGGTCCGATTCGTACCGCGCCAGCTTGCTCTTCTCCAGGACCAGCCTGAACCAGGCCTGCAGCTTGTGGGACGTGTCACCACTGACGCCATCTTCAAGCAGAAGGACAGACTTAAGCTCAGACTCTTGCGTGAGATCACATCTGCATTTAGCAAGGTGGGCGGGGCTGCCAGACCAGGTCACCGGCACTACAGGCCAATGGGAGGTGTGAATGCGACCTGATGTGGTGAACAATGATGCATCCTTCAGGAGAAGTGAGACTCTTGAATTCATTTATTTATTTATTCATCCATCCATCCATCCATCCACCCTCTAAAAGCCACCACTCTATTGCAGGGCAGGCGTAATATCCTTCTGCAGGCAATTTAGAGAGAAACAGGGAAACATGCAAACTCCACTGACAGAGAGCAGAAGCGGGACCTGAACGCCAGAGGTGTCCGTCACTGCTGCCTGCTGAGCCACAGAAACATTCTTAAAAAGTCCATTACTGTGTAGCATGGTACAGTTAACATGTTTATCTAAGGCAAAAGTTAAAAGCAACAGTATTTGCAAAAAAAAAAAAGTTTTAATAATATTCCACATTTTGGTAGAATAAATCATTTTGAAGTATCTTCCATACTTCCATAGTTTTTTTTTTACCAGGCCCAGTCCAACGCTCCCAGTGTGAGACCCTGACATCCATTTCAGCCAAATACATGAAACACTAAGTAGCTCCTTGGAAACAGAAGGGCTTTCGCTTTTGCATTTGAAAGAGCCACTTGCTTTAATGGCAAGCACGTAGGCTCCTAAATAGCAAAATGTCATTTCTAGAACCTTCTGATTTACTCAGGAGGCCCATTACCGGTTTTGATGCGTCTCTAGCTTCGCATAACCACTTGGAATGCAAATTAAGGCCATTTTATAAACAATTTCCCTCTTAGCCCCGGAGGGCCATTAATTTTGCATTTTTGAGGCACATTAAACAGCAGTATTGGCATAAAGAGCCAGCCACCCCCATCCGGCAGAAGACTGCGGTTCTTTCTGGAAGAACGCTGCTCTCTGATCAGTGGGGACCTGCTGTCCTACCAAAATCTCTTCTCATCTTCCTCAGTCCACCTCCTTCTCCTGCCCCAGTCCTCCCCTGAAGAGGAGCACCAGTGAACTGTGTTGACCGAATAAGGTCCTAGCATCATATAGGAGCCTGGACTATTTAGGATGGGGGGGGCGCTGTGATGTGCAGTAGGAGACACCCCCCCCCGATGCCCCCCATAATGATGCACTTGGAGTTCCCATAATTCAGCAGTAAAGATTTAATTTCAGCGTCCATTTATCAGCAGAGATTGACAGATCCTATAATCGCCAATCGCAGGTATAGGGGGGGCAGGTCACACCCCCACTCTGCTCACCTGTCTCTCCTCTCAGGTACTTCTCCAGGGTGACACTCTTTTCCCTCAGCTTCTCCACCACTTCCTCCAGCTGCCTTTGGATCACCTGAGCTTGCAGCAGCAGGACAACACCATGCTCAGGATGGCAATGCTATCAAACTCCTGCCCTCCTGTCTATGACCCAGGCAGCAGGAACGAGGCAGCATAGGTTTGCTTGGCAGGGTCTCAGTTACAGGTGCCCAGCCTGATGCTCCACAGCTGGGGGCCTGGAGCACATCTGCATCTCCACCTGCATCACCCTTCACCTGCTAGCTGCCCATCTGAGCTCTGCGGAGCCTCCTCAGTTGCTCCTGCCTGGCCACCTGCTTCACAACCTTCTCCTGTTTCCTCCTCTGTCTCTCACTGGGACCCTAAAGTTGGCGAAAGACCTGCCATCACATGGTGCTTGCTACTGTGACATCACACTGCTCAGCTTATTACACCAATAATGTCCCCCTAATTAGCAGGTTTAGAGTCCCAATAAGGTCACAATCCACTTAGCTTTGGGTGGCAGCAGAGTATGTATTTGCTTTATAAATATATTGAATATATTGAAATATATTACAAAAATGCAATTACTGTAAGCAACCCAAAGCCAAAGAGGTACTACAGTGATACAAGCATCACAAGCTCCCATGTCCTTCATACCATCTCATTTCCATTTCATGGTTTGACTCTCTGGGGTGTGAGGGAAGACTTACCTCCTGCCTGAAGAGGTCGTCCTCCTCCTCACTGGATGAACCAGATCCACTGGGTTCATGGTGTTTATGGGACGAGGCTGTGGACATAGAGAGTGGGTCCATCACTCAGGTACCAGCAGAGTTCTGAGTCACAGTACCAGGAACCACCGAAGGTACCTTTCTTCTTCAGGTTGGAGAGGATTGTGCAGGTGTCCTGGCCCAGATTTCTCACCACCCCCCTCTCTTCACTTCTCTTCACCCTCAGGGAGGAGAAGTGGTCCAGCTTCGGGGGGGGGGGGGCAGTGAGAAGAGGTCATCCTTGTAGCCCTCTGGGAGTTGGGATCTCCCTGGCACCTGCTTCTGAAGCTGAGACAGGTCCACACCCTCAGGACCGCTGGGTTCTGTGCTGGTAGTTCTGATGCCGTCCGAAAAGGCAGAGGGGTGGGATTTAGATGCGGGTGGGTTTGTGTTATGGGAGGTGGTCGGAGCCTGTTGGGACGGGCTATCAAACAAGGAGCTAAAGTTGAAGGGTCCCAAAGATTGAGGCCTGATCTTTGGGTGGTGCTCAGGGTTGTGTGCTCCCCTAAAGGCCCTCCTGAGGGCGCCGGTCAGCTGCTGCCAAGCCTTCAGCTGGGGTGTTGCATGGGGGTGCACTGGCTGGGGGGGTAGCCTGAGCCATAGGATCTCCCAAGTCCCACTTTATCAAGCGTCGTTTTTCAGATGGGGAGAGGGTTGGCTTATTTGTCCCCATCTCTGCAGCCTCCAAGTACTCCCCTATTGGCTCTTGAGATATGAGCAGCTCTCTGAGGGTGTAGTTTTGATCAGCATGGTCTGCCTGATTCATGGCACCCTCTAAAGGAGCGATGGCTACACTGGGCATCCCTGCTGACTCCTGTGGAGTAAAACACTGGTGAAGATCTCAAGAAGGCTCCCAAACAGTGCTACCAGAAAAATACCTGTCCAGGGTTAGGGTTAGGGTTAGGGTTAACCCTAAACCTAACCCATTTTGTTACAAAAACCTCCCCTTTAAAGGACTAAGATGCTTATTTGATGGGATTTACAATATATAATTTTCAGACAAAACTGCAGTGAAAGTAATGTTCTGTATTGGCAGAGCTTGTAAAATCAACAGGACAGTGACCTATGCTGGCTGTCACACACACTGACCTCCCCAGAAGGTGAGCCCAGGGCAAGGGGTGCCTTCTCCGTGCCAGTGTTGCTGAGAGATGGCACTGTCACTGGGATGTGTGGGAATGCTGGGAGAGGGAAGGAAGCCCATGCTGGCAAGTCAATTCTATCCATTTTAACATAGATTAGTGTTTCCCAATCCGGTCCTCAGGGCCCCACAGACAGTCCACATTTTTGAGGGAGCATGTGAACTTTGCATGTTTTCCTTTGGCTTCCTCCCACAGTCCAAAGGCTAACTGACGTATCTGTGTGTTACTCTGTATAAATGCCCTGTGATTGACTGGCATCCCATCCAATTCGTACCCAGGGCTTAGGCTCCAGTGCGACCTTAACTAGGATAAGTATTTAGAAAATGAATGAAGATCAATAAAGAAAATGTTAAAGTAAATGAACTTAGAAGTTAGAAGGACTTATACTTAGGCAAAGACTGTTTTGGGGTCAATAGTGACCCCTAGTGGCAAGAATGCTTTTCTGGAAGATCTGCAGCAAGTTCTGATGCTGGCCTCATAATAATGTTGAATGAGAGCCATATGGAGTCAAAGAGACAGATTACAGATGCCCAGGAAGCTAATTACAGCTTGGCAGGCAGAACATATGTGTTGGAGATATGCTGCGCTCTAAGACATTAACATTAACTTCATTTCTTAATGCAATATTAACCTATACAGTCCACTGAAGCTAAACACAGTGATATAACATTCTGGATTAGCCAAAGAATTGTGACTCATCCATCCATCTATCCATCCTGGTCAGGGTCACAGGGGGGCCTGGAGTCTATCCCGGGCAGCACAGGACACAAGGCTGGGGTCCATCCTATATAGAATGAAGGCTGGGGGGGTTGTGTAGCTGAACAAGTTAGGATGCTGCAGCTGTGTTCGGAAGGTTGCAGACTCAAATCCGAAGGCTGACAGTGTGATGTCACTGTCGAACCTCTGAGCTCCAGGGACTGGCTGACTCTGCTTTCTAAAATAAAATGCATATCATTCGGATAAAAATGTCTTTTAAATAAAAAAAATGTAAATAATAATTAATTTGGCTAATTCTCTGAAAGATTTAAGAGTGACCAAACCATGCAGAGACCTTAACATCCCAAAATATGGTTTTATAAATAGAAGCGCGGAAGTGGTCCTCACGGGGTTAATGACCAGTGCCAGTCCCCTGGGACATGAGCTCAGCAGACATATTAATAACTTCAGTAGGAACATCTGGTCCTACTCAGAGGAACCTGCTTTCCCACAGCTCTGATTGGTCCATGACTCTGAGAGAGGGACTGGAGAGGTTAAGAGACCCGTACCACACACGCAAACATGACCCAGCACAGCCGTGCAAGAAGACAAGGAGGAAGAAAGAACAGATAGGGAAGTGGAGAGTGTGGGTCAGGCAAGGGACAGCATGGAATTCTGACAGATGAGTGGGTGAGCTTAGAAAGACAACTAAGCAAGTGTACAGACAGACAGACAGACAGAGAGACAGGGGGCCTTACCGGCTCTGGTCTTCCCTCTCCAGTGGTTGGTCTTGTGCAGGGTGGGATCTCTGGGTGTCTTAAAGCTTGGAGGACCTGCACAGAGAGTTTCAAGGATTAGCCGGCAAGTTCACTTCATTAAACTGTCAGCCAGCAGGGGGCATCTCATGCCCAGAGTTTGGGCAGGGTGTGAAGAACGCACACACTCCAGACTGTCAGTGTGAACCCCCTGGGACCCCCTCACCATGTGGCACAACCACTGGGAATGGCATCACACCCTGGTCAAACAGAGAAGCACATTCAGCAACAGCTGCACTGCTCCAGCGAGCGCTAAGGTCTTTACTCCCATTGCCATCAAATGCTACAAGCCCTCTAGAAAAGTATTTTATTTAAATGTTTAAATGTTGCACACTTTATTTTGCACATCGTAGTTTAGTTTTGCATTGTGTCTTTTGTATATGTACAGTGATATCACATTGTGTGTGTGCTGCAGTAACTTTTGGAATTGCCTTTGGGATTAATAAAGTACTACCACTTATTCCGGGACAGGGGGTTCCCTTTACAGCAGCTGTGGGGTGGGGCACGGATGGGGGCCAAAAAAAAAAAGCCAAAGGTGTCACTTAATCAGTTTTTAGAAAGCCTAAAAGTCAAATGTGATGCTGTGTCTGTCATCAGAAGGTAGCTGGTTTGAATCCCCCAGGAAGCCCGTAACCTCCGATGACCCCAGGGACTGTCCAGCTCTGCCTTCTCAAAAAAATCTACGTTGCTCTGAATAAAAGCATCTGCTAAAGATGAGGTTAAAGTGGACAATGAGGCCGGTCGGGAAGGGGTGGACTCACTGCTGGGACTCATCCAATACTGGGAGACCCCCACTGAGGTGTCCGTCCTGTTGGGAAGCACAAAAGAGAAGGTCTCACCCCCCTTTCCTCTGTAAGGCTCCCAGAAGGCTTTTAAAGCATCTGTCTCTGCTGGTTTCATCATCAGTCACAGCTACTTAATTACCGCCTAAGGGTTCAGCATATCGCACAGCGTCGAGAGCGATGCAGACCTTGTTCAGACTGGTCCCTCACAAACCCCTGACTTGAATGTACTCGAAACGCCTCCAAAGGCCACGGAGAGGCTCCAGGCTGGTGATTTCTAAGAAGCAATGGCATGAAGTACAGGCACAATCCGCACCCGTCGTCCTTCCAGAAAGACCCGCGACGCTGATGTTCCAGTCTGACTTCAGGGGTACAATTAGTTACGCAATCAGCATAGTTCAGTTTTTTTCTTCTCCTGAGTTAAATATCCTATTTGTGCTTTAAGGCTTCTAATCCCGCATGTCAAAAAGAGGCCTCAGTTATTTTGTGTTCTGCAAAGTGTGACATTACAGAAAACTGCAGCACCTGTGAAAAGTATTCACCCACCTTGGATCTGTGTTTTCTCAATTTGCAACATTGTGCCACAGTGAATTTTATTAGGATACTGATCATTTATTTAGTTTTTAAAATATGTGGGGGGGCAGTAGGGCCCAAGAAGCAGTAAATGGGCCCCTCCCTTTCCCCACTGTGCGGCCTGGTGGCAGCGTCACACCTTGGGAATGCTTCTCTGCTGCAGCTCAGATTGGGAAGGTTGAGGGTACAATGACTGCAGCCAAATGCAGGCAGATCCTGGAAGGGAACTGGAGGGAATAGCGACTTGGGAGAAGTTTTTATTTATATTTAAGACAGTGACCCCAAACATAAAGCCAAAGCAACACAGGAAAATGGTTTAAAAATAACAAAGTCGATGTCCCACTGTGGCCAAGGCAGAGTCCAGTCCTCCGTCCAACTGAGCATTAGTGGCAGGACCTGAAAATAGCCGCACTCATGGGTCCCATGTAACTCGACAGAGCCTGAGTAGTTCAGCGCTGCAAGAAATGGGATCGCATTGTTCAGAGGTACGAACTAAGACCTGGTGCAGCACAGACTGAAAGGGGCCTCCATTAAATACTGATTTAAAGAGTCTGGATACTTATGCTACTTATTTTGTGTTTTATATTTGTAATTACTTAAATTCATTTTGTAGAGATTTATTTTTCCCTTTGACATTAAAGAATCTTTTGTGGCTGCCTGATGTCACAAAGTCTAATTAAATCCACCGTGACAGAATTTTGTAAAACAATAAAACATGTTTAAGTCTATGGGGGAGAATACATTCTGTAGGCACTGTTCATAATCTCTGTTCTATCCACGTGGCTAACAGTAACATGCTAGCATGCGGCTCTTTCGATACGACCAGCCAGAGTAGCATGTTACGTACCCCAGCCGCTGTAGTGTTTATACTAGCGTTAGCCTGTGTAACGTAGCATCACACACTTACTGGTCGTGCTGCTGTTGGAGGTGTCTCCTGTCTCTGGGGAGCTGGGTGGCCCCATCAATCTGGCCAGCAGCACAGTACCTGCCTGGAGCATCAGGACAGACATCTGGCACATCAGGAGGAATCGTCTGCCGGTTACCCTCACACCTCCCCCCCATGACACCATGTTAGACCTCACGCATGTCTGAAGGAGACTGAAACCCTTCACATGGGCCAATCCCACCATCTGGAAGCTCAAACCGAAGGTCTTAACATACCACCTGCAGTTCAGCCTAAATAATCCATCTGAAACTAAGCAGGTTTGGGCCGGGCCAGAATTTAGATGGGAGACCAACTAAGAAAGCTGGGCTTCTGCTGAAAGAGACGTTGGTGTGTCCAGAAGGTTAGTCCACCTGTGGTCTATGGGGATGTTGTGCTGTAAAAATGGTGTCGTCCTTCAGATGAGATGTAACACTGGGATCCTGACTCGTCGAGGCCCTATCAAATCTGGCCTCCTAATTATCCCCTGTATCTAATTGGTGAGTTTTCTCCCGCCCCTTCACCACCTTAGCTACAGTGTGGTGAGCGTACTGGGGCAGAATGGCTGCTGATGCATCACCCAGGCAGGTGCTACACAGGGGTGGTGGTTGAAGTGGCTCCCCATTGCTTCTGGAAAGTGCTATATAAATGCAACACTCATTCATTTTCCATGTGCAGCAGGCCCAGGTTTCTCAGCTACGAAAGACACAGCCTACTGGGGGGCTGTCAAGATTTAGAACATCATCTCTGACATGATAACAGAGCCAGCGCTGGTGAACACACTCTATATTAATGCCTGTCATTCCTCAGCATCAGTCCTGACAGGCTATATGATTGTTTCAACACTTCCATGCCTGGAACCCTCTGAGAACATTGACAGAGTGTCACTGGCAAGGCCTGGAGCCCCAGCTTATTTCCCAGGTACTTAGACACCACAGTCTGAGCAACAGAACATCTCTGGCTGCTCTATCTGACCAGAAGATCGCAGTTACCCTCCCCTTCTTAGTTGAGGGGGCTGAAAGTCTTGAATGAAAGGAGATTTGGGCGGGGCAACCTCAGGTCCCAGCCCCAAGGGGGGGGGGGAGGTTAAGGGAAGGAGAGGATGGAAATAGAGGCTGTATGAAAGTATGTGTTCACTTAAAAACCGACCATCTGTGCTGGATCAAGAGTCTAAATCTAGAGTCTCAACCTTCTGATGACCACGGACCGGCAAAAAATTGACATACAGGAAGATTACATTCCATTAATAGGAAAATACCATTAACATCATAGCCTATGTGCTAACTGAGACGTCAACAAGTCTCAGTGAATGACGCACTGGTATTTAAGCTTCCACAACAGAAACAGTAACACCTACTTACAGTCATTGTCAGTTTACTTTTGTCAGTTAACCAACCCCTCCCCCAACCAGCCAGCACCCTGCAGCCCAGTGGACCGGCACTTGGGAGCCCCTGATCTTGGGGAACGGATTTCCTGAACAAATAAAATTGGCCTGCTTTCCCCAGTAGAGGCAGTGATGAAGCTGAAGCTGTGCAGCTCACTGGTCTGCACCTCCTGGTACGCAGAGCGCGACCTCCCTCCCAACTTGGCTACTGGAGCTAGGAGAATAACCAGTTTAATTGCATCTCCTTCTCTTCCCCAACACACTATGGTGGGGTGGGGGGGGCATTCATGTAGGAGCTGGGGAGCCAGCAGGACACGATGATTCATACCTCAAAGGGCGCAGAACCAAGGAGACTCAAAATCCCACGGTCAACTCCAGGAATCCCTCCCATCACCCTGCCCTAGATCCACCACTGCAGAAGCACCAACCAGACAGCCTCATCTCAGGCCAGTCAAGCTGCACTCAGAGAAACGCATGTCGGCTGATGGGGGAAGCAGGAGGCGTGTCCCCTGGCAAACGACTGCCCCGCACTCCTCTTCACTCCCAGCCAGAGACGGCTCCCATACTGCTTCACATGTAGGGACCACAGCTGAACCAGGTCACACGGTCACGGTCAGTCTGAGTTCACCCTGGTACAGAAAACACCAGTTTGGTCTGGTCTTTGAGAGCAGTTGCTTGGGTCTGGTGTACTATGACAGCATGTAGTAAGAAGTCTGTATACCCCCCCAAATTTTTTTATATTTTTCTTTATTCACAATATACAAACTTTTAAATTATAGATATGAGGAACCAATGGACTCAACACCCAAAAAGGTGTATCTGGACTCATTATGGAGGGTGAAGGCCCAGTAGATGTAGCCCAGGAGATCACGGAGCATACCAACATAGGCCATGGAACCCAAGACCACATCTACAATGGTCAAGGACACTGGCATCTGTGATCTGGTGAGAGTGAGGCTAAGCATGACAGAGGTCCAGCCAATGGGAAGGCCTGAGTGATGATGATGTCACTGCTGGTCTCCATGGCATCCATATGTGATGTTTGTTGATCTTAAATAGATACCATCTCAATCTTATCTTCAATTTTTTTTAAACTGTAGCATACAGCTAAATAAAAAAAGTATAATAAAAAAGAATGCACATTATTTAAATAAACATTTATTTTACACATAAACATTCAAAATTATAAAAGAAAAAAATTAACAGGTTCTCACTGTAGTCTTATTTACATATACAGACCAGCAGAGGACACACAAAATGTGCAAGTTCAGGATCTTCTGATCAATGACTCCTGAACACGTCCACATAGATGACAGTACGTATCCATGTGGTCAAAATGCAGAGAAGCTTTGGTATTCTGCAGAGGTCTGGGAGCCGATGGGGGAAGCAGGGATAGTAGTTAAATGTTATCAAAGAGAGGGACAGGCTCTGTCGACAGGCCCAAAGCAAAACACAGTGGCGTTAGTATCGCAACAATGTTTCCCTGAGATTAGAAACTGTTTGTTATGTTTAATACACAAGACCCAGGCTACTGCTCTCAGAAATATGGGTCAGCATGAGGTTAAGGGCTAGCAGTTGCAGCGCAATGAGCCTGGACCGTGTGACACCAAGCCCAACACCATCCTGCCGTGCCCATCCAACCAGCTGGACACTGCAGGAGACAGCAGGACACCTCAAGCAAAATGACAGAACGGAACATTTAAGGTAAGAAAGACGAAGGCTGTTGCTGTTCGGTTAGGGTTAGACCCATTTAAATACAGGAGAGCGAGAGCAAATGAAACAACCCAATGGATGAAGGAACAGAAGCAAAGCTCCCCAACTAGGAAATCTCACAATCATAAGGAACAATGTGTTTAGAGAGACACACAGAGGTGGTTTCAGGCCATGGAAGAACTTGGGGCTTGGAAAATCCATGACCTATGAACAGATCCTGTTTTTTTTTTGTTTTTTTTAAACGGATTAAAATTTTTCAGTCCAGTCAGTACGTTGACTCAGAAGTATGAAGGAACATGTATATCGTAAACATACACTTACGAGTTCCAGTGAAGGCCTATGTTGCGGATGTTACATTAGAAACCGCTTGGCATCAGTGTTTGGCAACAAAATCATAGCGATGCACACAAGAACCAGGACACAGGTACGGCCCAGAGCTGGAAGTTCTGCCTGATGTTCTCCACCTCATTACAGAATATCCTCAAATCCCACATGCAGTGCAGGCATCCCCATAAGTATTCAGGTAGTGCCTAAGGGTTATGATTAGTTGTGATGGGTACCTGCTGCCCATAGGAGCTGATGATGTCATCGGCTATTACCGAGGCCCCAATGCAGCGTGATTACAGGCTGCCCTATAATGTGCCTGTGTACGTTTGCTGTTGAGCACTGTGCGAGAGAGGAAGAGTGGGGACCCAAGTGCAGCACTGAAACCCCATCCTGTTTAAGGGGTGCCTCTCACAGCCTCTAGGTGGTGCTGTGCTGCAGCGGCAGGGACTCAGCATAAACCTGTGTGAGGACGTCCGCCAGCATGGCTAGCAGGGGGACGCCCACGCTCAGCAGCTCGTACAGGAAGGCGTAGTCCTCCCTGCGTGCCCTCAGGTGGCGATTTGCAGCACACGCCACGCCCCTCACACGCCATAGCACCCCCCTGGGGCCACGGAGGAGGGGGCGCAGGGTACCTGGAAGAGGGCTGTGCTGGCTGCCTGTGCTGGACCCTCCTGGGAACACCTGGCCAGGGGCATGAGGGAGGGGGAGCCACATCAGATTACAGAGAGAGAGAGAGACACACACACACACACACACACGCGCACACACGCATGTAGGGTAAACATTCATTTCAATGGGAAAAATGCTAACGCTAACTATGACAACCTTAACCCCTACCCTGCCCTAACCTTAACCATAAGTAACCTAACAAAATACAAGACTTATGGGATTTTTTAGTTTTTTTGATTGCAGTGACAATGGTCCCCACAACAAAACAACAGGTTTTTATCACACTGAGGGATCACTGGGTTCCTACAATGTAATATATACATAACCACCCCCCCACACACACATACAAATACACACACCACCTAACAAACTGTCCTATTTCTGACAGCTATAACACCATCCTGTTTCAGCTGTCAACACACTTCACTTTAAAGGAATCTGAGACAGTTCCACTGTACTCTGTTTGTGAGTCTCAGCATCCTGAGTGTGATTACCTTCCACGAGGCAGACATCTTCTCTCTTTGGCCACTGTTTGCTTTCTGTTGTGCAAAGTGAGTCTTACAGTAGAACTTGCCTGTTGAGACAAAACGGACTAAATGGCAAGTGACCACCTGCGTGGTGTTCACCACCACTCAAACCACACATCCGCCCCCTGTTGGACCCAAACAGTTACTACACTGCTGAGGGGGAAAAGTAACTGTGTGGGACCCCAAAAACAAACAAACCCAGCCCTGGAGACCACTAGACACCCCCTCCCCTCTTTAACACCCAGCAGTGGCATGGGGTGGACAGCAGGTGGCGTACCTTGCTCCACGCTGAAGACATGACTCCCCAGACACAGGGCGGAGTTACAGACGGAGCAGCGGAAGCAGTCGCGGTGGAGGAAGAGCGATTCGGCGCCCAGCCGCTCCATGGCGTAAACACGGCGGCTACAGACGTAGCACGTGTCACTCCCCCTCAGTGGGGTGGGCGGGGCTATACGCAAGGAGGCCTGTAAAAGGAGGGTCACGCATGGTTACACACCCCCACGCGCATTTACCGCCATGAAAACCCTCACCGACGCCGGCTATGAAAATTCTGAGATGTGCTTCTTTAAAAAACAGGAATATACAAAGCCAAATATGATGCACGCAAACAGGCATGACTCAGACTGACACCTGTATTTAACAAAGACAGGACATTGCTGCCTTAGAAAGGGTTCAACACAGGGCTACAAGAATGATACCTGGTCTCAGAGGAATGTCTTATGAGGTTAACTGAGCTGAATCTGTTTGGCCTCAAGCAATGGAGACTAGGGGGCGGACATGATCCAGGTCTATAAGATTCTGGATGCTGTTCAGTCAAATAGTTACTTCAATATTAGTTCAAAAACAAGAAATTGTGGTCATAGGTGGAAATTAACGGGAGAACATTTTAAATTGGATTTGAGAACAACTTCTTTACACAGCAGGTAGAGTTTGGAATAGTCTTCCTGTTAGTGTAGTGCAAGCTAAAACCTTGGGTTCCTTGAAAGCAGAGCTAGATAAGATTTTAACAACTCTGAGCTTTTAGTTGAGTTCTCCCTGATCACCTCTCCTTTGTACATTTATGTTATGTTCTTATGTACAAGCCACCCCCCCAAACACAGCCTAATTAACATTATATTAATATACAGTTGCATTGTACAGAATGGAGTTTAGGTCCTAGATATTTTTGAGTTTTTAATAATTCTGTCGTAAAAAGTGACTTAACACACTGGGCTGCAGATCCTGGACTCCCCACTAGGTGGAGCCTGACTTGGTCCCCAGAGTACCTTCCTGGTGTTAATACATTTGCAGGCCTGATGACAGTGGCTGCTACAGTACAGCACATGTATAGCACCAGAGATCAAGTGGAAAAAAATACTATGGCCCTAATTGACAATTTGGCAGTATGTCACTGCTCATACTGGTCAGACTAGTCCAGAAGGTTGTATGCCTCATACATCCTGGTTACTAGCCAGTTCTATTTCCGTGTACGTGGACGAGGCCATCACGATGAAGATCATGCATTTATGAAGAAGTGGAGTACTGAGCATCCGGCCTGATGTTTGTAATTTAAACATCAAGGTACATCAAGCTTAAAGCCCAACCATAATGTGCACGCCGACCACTGCAGAAGATGTCGTCTAAGCTCCAGCTCAGGCTAGCTGAAGTCCAGCAGGGACAAAGAGCTTCCCCAGCAAACCCGAGGCAGCAGTGGCGGCCGCTCTGACCTGCCTCCGGACCAAAGAGCTGGGGGCGTTCTCCTCGAGCCTGGCCTCCAGCTGGGTGGCCATGAACCTGACCTTGTTCTCCTGGAGATCAGCACCCTTGATCCCAGAGGACGACCTCTGAATGGACAAGTTGGTCACCTGGCAGTGAAACACAGCACTCAGCAGACAGTACAGCACCATAGCCGTTCCCAGGAAGCCACTACTGTGTCATGTTTGGACCAACATCACTGTACAACGCGGGTCTGTTCGGGAGAAACGGACCTCCTCCAAACGAGCCCTCCGTCTCCTTTTGTACATGGACTCATTGTCCTCAGACTTCTGCTGCTCCTGAAAGGACAGAAGCACTAATTTAAAACACATGAATTATTCATCCCCCGCCTGTTTTCTGCCCCCCACCCATAGAACAGTGGCCTCTTCTCCAGCACTGATCCTTTGTTTCATTCCTGCCCTCCACCACCCTGCATAGATACACTCATTGTTCCCCCCCCCCCAGTGATTAACACTAAAATCCACATCATACTGGTGCAGGCTGCCCTTTGCTGCCCTGCTTGATAACAGAGCCAGAGCAATTCAAAATGCACCACCTTCTTGCACTGGAGGCATGGTGCTTTAAAAGTTCTCATTCACTTCGCTTCGATCCTTTAAATTTGATGTCATGTCAGAAGCAGAAGCAAACGTCATTCGAACCCAGGTCTGGGTCATGGGGCGGTACCTTTGGCATTCGCTTCTTCGGCGCCATCGGGATCAAACAGGAGTTTGAACGTTCCTTGCTGTTCTCATCCTTTTCTTTCTGAGGAACTTTAAAAAATAACAATGTGGTCATTTCTCCCCGCTCAGAGGCAGGCGGAAACATCAACAGCTGGGTATTTAACAGACGCCAAAGGAAAATACTGCGGTGAAAGACGGCATGAAAACACTGCGTTTTACTTTTCAATTATCAGACAAAACTCTGGAATGTTTAACAGGAAATACCAGCTCAAGAACCTTTAAAAGAATGTATGAATGACCCAGAGTCCAAGCATCACGTAGAGATTGGCACATGCCCTCTCTCAGCCTATCAGATCTACCTGCCTTTCCCAGTCAGACAGGTGAGCTAACTGGGAGTGTTCTCTACAGATGGAATGCAGAGACAGGTATGCCTCAGACTTCATAACTGATAGGTACACACAGTTGGGACGTCACTCTAAATTGAACACACGCACCCGATCCAACAATGGGGCTTCTGTTTAGGAGAGAGTCTATCAGTCCCCAGTTTACCTGAGACAGAAGAGGGGGCGCTCTGGAGCACATCATAGAGCTGAGACAGATACATGACCAAGCTGAGCTCGTCCGGCTTCAGGTTGGCCGCCATCTTGGCGCCTGTGGTCAGTGGTGGGATGCCGAACTCGCATTCGGCGACATCGAAGGCTATCTGGTTGTTCCTGGCCGAGTCTCGAGGGTTTAGGGTGCTGTAGTCCCTGCGGGTTACCGAGAGGTGGAGGTGTGGTTATGGATTTGCATGTACTAAAATGAGGCTGCTATCGCAGCAGTGAAAAGATTTAGGTGTGTTGGAGGGGAGAGGGTGCCAGGCAGCATACATGGCATGTGCCTCAGTGGGGTAGATGCTGTGTCTGACTGGAAGGTCGTTGGTTCAAATCCCAAGGTTAGTAGAGAGATTTCCCCCCCCGGTGCAAAGTCCCTAATCCTGAATTGCTCAAGATACTGGCTGCTTATATGTATGTCACACTGGATAAAAGAATCTGCTTAATAAACGTTGATATCTTTTAACATGGACTGGGGACTAGTGGGCATGGGGCTTATGAGTTAAAGAACAAAGGGGGGCGGGTCTTTGGGGGGGTCAGTGCTTACAGGAGATCGGGCCGGAACCGGTGAATGAGGGCACAAAGTGCCAGGCCGCTTGTCCAGGATGTGGCCAAGTCCGACACATCCACATGCGGGTAGCCCCGGGTCTGTGCCTGGCACCAGCTCAGCAGCTGCCCGGTCCGGATCTCAGACTCTACGGGGCAGAACATCCAGCGGGACACCACAGATCAGAATACACAGCTCTGAGGCCCGCCCGGACCACAAAACCATCATAAACCTATAAGCAAGGAGACCTCAGAAGACCTCAGAGAAACATCTAGCTTGGCTCTGGCGGCTCAGACGGCTGAAAACATGGTAAGTTTCCCGGATATTTTAAATATGCACTAGCAAAGGAGCAGGTCCACCCTGAAGAGGAGAATAAAGTCTCAAAAGCAGGACCCCCATGCACCACTGGGCACCGAGAGCGTCAGTCACAGCCGCACTCACCGCGCTGAGACTCCTTAACAGACCGGCGCAGTGACTCAGAACGCTGAACGCGGCAGGGCTGCGATTTCCCATCGATAAGCAGATGGCACACCTGCGTCGGGCAGGAGAGAGTCATGGGGAGGAGAGGCTGGGACCATCCCAAAACTCACAGGCACGATAAGGAGACGTATGAGTATATGAAATAATTTCACTTTCTCCCCGCATGGAGAAGCGGAGACTGGTGCAGTAGGTCCACGTTCTTCAGCCTCACCTGATGCAGCCGGACGCAGGTGGTGCTCAGGTTGGGGTACCGGCTGGCTGGGTCGATGGTGTACTGCTCAAAGTTCTTGGTGATGTTCTCAGGGGTTGTCTGGGGCAGTAACCTGTAAAGACTCTCCCTGCAAACAAAACATGAGTAGCCAGGATATCAACCACAAGGACCACACACGCTGACTCACAGATAGCTAAACACCACAGAACAGAGGCTGAGAGCCTCAGAGCATCGTAATATATGGATTACATGCTGTTTTTTGGTTTTTAAATAGCAGTATTGTGGGACCTTATGTCGCGGTAACTGAACACAGTGTAGCCACACGCTTGTTCACAACTGTTCCGTCACTGACCTCTCAGCCAGGAGCTCCAGGGGTGCCCGCTCCTCCGCCCAACCCCTCACCATCCAGGCCGTGTCGAAGGCGGCCAGAAAGCCACGGGCACAGCCCGTGCCCATTGGCCAGAAGGGCTGGGGAGAAGGAGACAGCCAATCAGGAGAGGATACGTAAAACAGGGCACGGCTGAGAGGGAGAGAGCAAACAGAGCGCATGGGGGGGTGGGGGTGACCTGTGCGCGCGAGCCACCGCTGGGGAGGACCCCACTGCCATGTGCCACCCAGGCCAAACACGCAGGGTGGGCTGATGAAAAAACTGAGTGCAGGATCTGTCGTGGATCATGGCTGTACGGCCTGTTCTCCGACCAACGGTGAAACGCCTTCAGCCTCTTGGGCAAGAACACCGCAGAAGCTCGAGCAAAATATCAGTACGGTTGATTACCATGGTGACCTCATACACTGGATCCCGATGTCTCTCACCTCCAGTAGGCTGTCCCCCACCAGTGCCACCAGCAGCCCGCGGCCACCACTCTGCCGCACCAGCGCCGCGTTCTCCGAGGCGTACATGCAGGTGAAGTCGAACATGGCGACGTCTGGCTGCCCGTGGTGATTGGTGGCGAAGTCCAGCGAGGGCAGCTGGTAGTTGGTGCCGTAGTCGGCGGCTTCGCGGGCGTAAGACTGCAGGGCCTCCTGGTCCACGTTCTCCCCGCTCAGGAGCATCTCGGTGTCCATGTGATCCTGGCCAGGAGAGACCAATCAGGAGAGGGAGGTTAAACCAGGAGGTCTGTGTGAAGAGAAACGATGAGAAACGAGCAGAGACGCAGAGCAGCCGCCATGAGACATGCAGGCTTCTGCCAGCCCTGGCGTCCTGCAAAGCAAAGCGCGCACATCTGCGCAGACTTACGTGTAGGATGACGCCCTTATCTAGCAGGCTTTGCTTCTTGGCCGTCATTACAAAGTAGTGGGTGTTGTCCTTGTAGTAGACAATGTTCTCTAGGTCGATACCTGCAGAACAAAAATTCGAATGTTCTTGTAACGTTCTTCAGATTGAACCCCAGTGACCAGGGTAAGCTTTTAGGTTAACTTCTCCGCACTGCTCTAAACCACAGACAATCGGTACCTGAGCACCAACCCTGGAAGCCGACCATCTCAGACTGCACCTTACATTAAAGGTGTCTCTGTTAAAAGAAGAAACAAACCTGAACCCTCCCCAGCTAACTCACCCATTTCATCCTTCAGGTCCAGAAAGAACTTCTGGTTGAAGATGAAAGCCACGCCACTGATCTCCTCCACCTTGGCTTCAGCCGTGGTGTTCCTGTTGATGAAGTTGGCAGTGATGGCGATGGCCAGCTTCCCGCGGAACTCCTTCCTCCTAAAACCTGGAGGTGAGGGAGCGATAGGATTGTTATGAGGCACCAATTTCAAATGGGTTCTCTGAATTCAGGACCCAGGAAAGAATATCATATCGGGCCCCTGAACCCAGACCAATCCATCCATCCATCCATTTTCTGTTACCGCTTGTCCTACTCAGGGTCACAAGGGGTCAGAACCCTATTCCAGAGGCTATGGGTGTGAGGCAGGGATCAACCCAGGATGGGGTGCCAACCAGACCAATCCAATTATGTTCCAAATTTTTTAGGGCCCCTGGCCATCTGGGGCTCTTGAAATCATCCTAATCGTACCCGTTTACGGTGGCCCCGCTCAGAAGATACAGAACTGACGAGCATATGAAACAACAAAGACATGGAGGTGCATTGTCATGACATAACAGGAGACACTTTTAAAAGGTGCTGGGAATTTTTCAACGATGTACTGACACAAAGAGAATAAGGAATATAGACAAACACATTTCATACAAAATTTTGCACAAGTTAATTGTAGTAAAACTAGATTGCTTTAATAGCCAAACTCTGGATAAGAGTCTGTTGGAATTCTCAGAACTTTTCTTCTGATGCTTATTAATATATTACACATGGGCGTCGTCAGGCCTATTTCGGGTCGGCTTCAGCCCCCCCAAAATGATCCCAAGCCCCCCTAAAAATATAGTAATTATCATACTATTTTTGAATTATATATACATACATACATTTCATACAAGCCATCACCGAGCGCAGGTACACACTTAAATAGAAGCAAGACTATGGATTGAAATTAAAAATAATACTGTAATTCTAGCTATCATTATTTAATTAAAATTATGTACTGGCTGTTTAAGCTGCTATTGGCAGTGACGTTGTTGGCTATTTTAAAACTAATTTAAACTTACTTGCCCACATAATGCTGCTGTTATTGTGATCAAAAACTTGTACAACAGCAAAAACAGGGACACTGAAGTAGCATGTTTTTAATGAACACAACCCCAACATGTAAGCTGTTAAAAAAAACTCATGGACTCATTTAGACTGTAATTTAAAAAAGGCAGACATCCTAAAGACCAAGGAAACCAGAGGCTGGGAATCCCCCAGAGAAGCCAGTGAAATGAAGTGAGCCAGATAACAGCATAATTACTGTACATGAGATAATAAAATTAAAGAAGCCTGTTTAGGTTTGGTGAAAAAATTTCAGCCCTCTAATTCCTTCCTACAACACTGGGAGCTAAACCCCCCTTGTCTTTCAATCCTAGTGACGTCCCTGATATTACATGTATCAAGCTACACAACAGCTGCCTTTGTTGTGGAGGTCTGAGCTAAAGGCACACAGAATACCTGTCTAATGTACACAGAATACCTGTCTAATGTACTGTCAGAAGCTATGGGGGTCATTAAGGCTGACAAAGGCCCTGTCGAGCATTTACGCATTTGGGAGTGAATCTGCACAATAATTTCACACCATTAGCATATGCGGTCTCATCCTCAGTCATGGTGTCTCATCTAATCTCCTGTCACATGAATCCAACAGGGTGCACAAGCTGCTGCACTCCCTAGGCCTTCCCAGAGACCCGTGAGGGACCGTCATATACATGAAATAGGACACAGAGTAACTCTCATATCCTCGCTTTTGCTAGTTTGCAGCCCAGGGGAGCTTCTCAGTGTTTACTCAATGGAGGACGAGCTCCAGAACAGCTTTCCAAATCCCTAAAGTCACTGTAGTGAGTCCCGCTGTTGGGGCCTTCGCTTGCTGGACACCATCCCGGCTCTCCATGCAAGGCTTCCAGCACGTCTCAGAGGCACGACCTTATCTTCAGAGAAATTTTGCCTCATTTTTTGGCCGAGCCGACCGTCCCGCTATGTTTACACCGATATAGAAGAGTCCCCAATCCCCCCAAACCAGCGCCTCACAGGGGAGACTGCTTCCTTCTTCACTGTGGACGTCTTCTCAAAGGACCATGTGGGCTTATTATCCATATGAATGACTTCAGAAGCTGCCAAATGTGGATTTGGGTGAAACGCTGCATTTCGAAGATCATAAAAACATGGACACTGGCACTAATATCCGCCTTTCGACTAAATATGAAAAGCAGTCAGTAGATGAAGCGGCATTTGGCAGTTTTACCTTCTAGAGTCTCTTTGTGTCCACTGGCACCCACCAGCACGTCGAAGCTGAAGTCTGACACGCGGTGACCCGCAGGTCGGATTTCCGCCCTCCAGCCAGGCCCTGCAACACCACGCATGAAGCCATCCTAAGCGAAGGCATGTGTGCCGATGACCCATCAGCTACAAAAAGCTATCCACTATTCTGAGAGAAAGCAGAGACCCTACAAGAGGGGTCGCCTTAAGATAATCCAGCTCCTACTCGTAGGATTTCAAGCCCTTTTTGCATGACACACTAGTGCACTTGAACAGTCAGCATGTTACACTGTGGCTGTCTGGCTCATCTTATCTCTTATCAGCTCTGCATCAGATCTACCTCGGACTGCTGTTGACACTTGTTTACACAATCACCAAGTCATATGGCCACATTCACCGTATTTTACCCTATAACATATTACGCATCTTATCTTATTCAGGTCTTATGGTACGTTCTACCTACCTTTTACTTGAAATTTGCTTATTAAATTTCATTGCACATCGTGTGAAGCAGATTGAATTTGTGTTATTTATTGCAACCTGTATTATTTGTCCCGTGACTGTCCTTTGACGCGTCTTTGTCGTTTACTGATGCCGCTATGGACTGAGCCAGACAGTTTTTATTGCATGTGTAATCGTTCCATGACAATAACAGTTTAAATTAAATTTACCCACACTTAAGTGGAAGCCCATCCCCATCATGTGATCAGTCATGCCAGAAGTTCCACCCCACAGGGTGAATCTCAAAATGCATGCTTGAGCATACTTGTGTTCTCGTGTGCTCATCTTGCATTGCCGAAAACCAGTTCCAATACTAAGAACAAGTACAGAGGACAGAAAAAAATCCCCAAATGTCTTGCTCCACCCCAAATATCAAGGACACATGGGTTGCATCCTCGCCAAATGAAACCAATCCCATGATTCATAGCGCCCAAGTTCATTCTCGGGGTGCAAGATAGCAAGACCGTTCTTGCCAATATCACAAGTACGATCTTTGCCTTCTTGGTATTGAGATTCACGCCGGGTCTCCTCAGCGGTTCGCCCGCTACTCTGGGGCCCCGGCTCACCCTCTCGGTCCAGGTGTTCCGGCGGCTCTCGGAGTCCGATGAACTCCACGTTGACGTGGACCTCCACGGCGATGAGCAGGCACACCTTCAGCAGGATGAGCTGCAGCTGGCGGATGCCTGTCAGGCCGGGACAAGACACCAACCCTAAGACCCAGAACAAACTCACAGAGACACACAAGCCCACCTGAACGGGGACTCTGAGGACTAAAGCACACGTAGAAAGCACACCAGTTATATTATTTCAGATTAGTCACACCCTTATTAGTCCTTTATGTTAAGAATGCAGGTTCTGTTCCTGCTCTTATTCCCACATACAGGCAGTTTGGTGCCCTCCACTCCCCCCTCAGATGTCTCAAGAACTAAAATAGCTAATGAGTAGAGCTAGCTGGTTAGTAGAACATGTTGCTTCAGCACCTCCTAAACAATGCATTTATATAATAATTTATGTAATGACTGTTTGTGGCCAAAAGGGGCAGTGTGTTTTGAGAGGTGATTAACACCATGCTGCAGAGAAGCTGAAAAACATGCAAAGGACAAGCAAGGAGAAGCCCGCCGTGGACCCAGAACCACTCACTGATGTGGTCTATCGCTCCGGCGCAGAATTTGCCGTAGAACTTTTTGGCACCAAGCCCACGCAGGTCATGGATGGTGTAGGGCCACAGGTGCAGTACATTGTTTCTGGAGAAGGTGTCCCTCTTCTCGATCAGCACCACCTTAGCTCCTAGAAGTGCAAGCTCGATGGCCGTCCGCAGACCACAGGGGCCTGCACCGATCACCAGGCACTGGGGGGGGTGAAGCCAAAGACGTCACAATCAGTGGGGGCAGGGGGGGGTGTTGTTAGATATAAAGCTGTACTGACGCACAGACCCCCCCATTACCTTAATCATAAAAATTCCTTTCTTGAATGTCTGCTGCAAGTACGAAATATACTGTAGTATTGTATTATCATTCCTCAGCCAAAATAAGCATTATTTCAAAACTTTCCTTAGCCCTGTCATGTTATTACACAATCCGGATTTTTGTTTTGCGTGCAGATTGCTGCGTGCACCACGGTGCACCAGCTATGACATGCATCCCGCGGTCTACAGACCTGGACCGCAAGGTGCATGCCTCAGCTTGTATGTTGGGTTCAACGGCATCACTCTGACATTATGGATTAGAAATTATTCATTCATTTCCCATTATCACCAATCCCTAAACTAATCTACTGCCAAATATAGCAGCTTGTTAAAACCTGAACATGACATTTTTCACGTGCCCCAGTAAAGGGGGTCCAATGACAACCGTAAGTGGGACTCAGGCTGCCAGGAGACGACCATAGGCAAAAATCCAGACTGCAAAGTCAGTCATACCCTCCTGGATGTAAACATTATCATATCTGAGCAAGATTATAAGGAAGCATTGCTTTACACAAAGACTGGTGACAAAAGAATTAGCTCTAGCAGTAACAATAGAAGTAGTGTCTAGAATTTTGTCAATTTCAAGAGTTATTGAAAGCACAAAAAAGCATGGTTTTCACTGAGGTTTCACTTGGAATGTTCAAATGAGGTTCCAGGCAACCACTGACGGTGGATGTTCTGGAACTTAAGCAAACTGTAGAAGAGAAGATGCAGCACCAAGCCTCTATGTCATTCAGTTTTCGATCTCACTGCATCAAACATACAAGCTCTGTCACACCCCACCTGATGAGCTGGATCCTTTTTGGAGTGAAGGTCAAAATGAGTCAGCAGAAGATGCACATAACCAGCCTTCTCTACTCGGTGGGTGAGTAGGGTTTCATAGGGCCAAACAGACACGTTGTCTTCCTAGATCTACACAATAACATCCAGGCTTTCAGGCTCCCAAACTGCAAAATGTATGCATCTCAGGAAGCTAGCTGAATGCTGCTGAGGTCTGGCAGGG